TTTAAAATAGAAATTGTTCTAAAAGCAGAACTAGACAAACTATAAACACTCAAGTAATATATTTTATTAAAAAATTATTTAAACTAAGAAATGAAAAAAAAAATCCCAAGTTAAAATTGGATGAAGAGACAGATCTAAGGATGGTGGGTCTCAAAAAAAATGAGAGCATGAGAAATTTAAAACTCGAGTGTTAAAGTCCTCAAGAGTGCATAGGAAGGAAGAAGATTAGGGTGAAATGACAAAAAAGGACAAGGCGGGGAATGAAGAAGAATGAGGAACTTGAGATAGAAAGAAAGGTGAAGAAGCAACTTTCCTAATAGGGATGAAATATATGGGTCAACTCGATTCATATGGATTGGCCTATATGGATTGAAAAAAATGTAAGTTGGATTGAGTTTAATTTATTTTTATATGTGTTGAAAAAATTTCAACCTAACCCTTGAGGGTTAACAGGTTAAATAGACTAACACGCCAACTCATTTATTTATTTTTTATGAATTTTTTAAAAATATATCTAAATAATAAGTTTTAATTTTTTTTTGGTAAATAAAGACAAGCTAAAAACTTGAGGAAAATACCACTACAAACTAGTGAAGATCAGGTTCAGGTGGACATAGATCCACCAAACTCTTATCTGCCTAAAAACTATCCAATTGTTTAGGAGCTATTGTAGGTACCGAGATAAGATCAAGCAAGCCATGAAAATTGTTCTTTGCCATTGAATCAACACATATTATATTCTCACATCCAATGTGAAAAACTTCAACCTCCCAATCTCCAAAGAGCAAGTCACGAATATCAACTAGTACAGCTCTTAAAGGATGAGTACCTAACATATCTCTTCTAATCAAATTTATAGCGTCCTTTGAATTTGAAAAAATTTGAATCTTGGTCAAACTGAGAAACTTGGACACCATTAAACTAGATTTTATTACATTGAGTTTAGCCTCAGTGATTGAGAAGTGTCCCAAATCTTGTTGAAACCCCAAAATCCAATCGCCTCAATCATTGTGAAGAACTCCACCATAAGTTACACGTTTTTGCTGCACAGATCCATCTACATCAACACAAACTACACCATAAGGGGGTAGAGTCTATCTTCTTTTCAACTAAGAAAATCCTTGGAAGACCATGTGTCATAGTTTATTGTTCACTATACTTTCCATCAATAGATATTTTCCTCTATGTATGGTCTCCATAATTGAAAAGTTGCTTCCTTAAAATAAAGATTTGCACCTAGATGTTCAGAGAATCCAATAAAAAGTGGCAAAAACTCTTGTCCAAGACCATAAGTTGAATTTCCCCTTGGCTGGTTCGTTTTTGAGTTCCAATGGAGCCAACCCTACAAATTGTCATGGAAAAAACTAGAGAGAGAGTTCGGGTTTAAAATATAGGTTCACACATCTTTTGCTCTCTCACAATCTCTCAAAACATAAAGGACAGACTCCTTATGATTACATTCAAAGGGACATAAAGAAGTGTTTGATAAGCCTCTCTTAGCTCAGAGTAAGTTGGTAATTAATCTCTCATGAGAAATTTGCCACAAGAAGAATTTAATTCTTTTAGGAATTTGCCACTTCCAAATTTTATTCCATAAGGGAGAACTACTCATGCCATTCCTTTAGGTAAGAAAGCTATATGCACTCTTGACCAAGAAGTTACCATCCCTTGCTGGCCTCTATTTTAGCTTATCCTCATAATTCATGTTAGGGGGATTTATTTTACATAGACAAGACATTGAAGTCTCCAAGCACCAACCAAGGGTCCTGTGTTGTACTAAAAAGTGTGCGAAAGGATTCCTATAAATTACATCTAGTACTCGCTTTGGTTTCTCCATATACTGTCATAATAAATACCTTTTCATTCACATTGTTGTCCAGGACTTGGCAATGAAGGAATTGAGAGTTGGATGACACATAGTCAATGCAGAAAGAATCATTGTTTCAAAGCAACCAAATACCTCCAACAAAACCACTAGATTCTATACTTAACCAGTGACTAAAACCCAATTTACGGACAACATTATTTGCGCGATTACCACTGATACAAGGTTCCATCAAGCAAAAGATATCAATCTTATGGTGACATACCATATCTTTAAAAATAATAGGGAAAGCACGGCTTTTGGACCCCAACAATTCCATGATGCAACTATCATTAAATAAGTTTCAATTTAATATTTCTTCATGATTCATTCTAAATATACCAAAGTATTAATTTATAATGTTTATACAAAATATATAAATTGATCCAACTAAATAAGTCATGCCTAATATGGTTTATAATTTATATCCACAAAATTTTTCTCTTTTTTAATTTTTTAAAAAATAATATAGGTTAAATGGACCCTAACCTATCAGGATTAATCCATATGATTCATAGGTTATATGGTCTAGGCTAGAAAAAACTTATTTTTATTTGGGTTAATTTTTTTTCAACCCAACCCAACCCTTAAAACAGGTTATTTAGGTCAACTCATATTCCTGACTCTATTCCCTATTACACCAAGTCATTTGGATCAAAATTTCAAGCACTTACCCTTGATTATATTGTTGTTTTTACTTATTTTTATGGGTTTCTGATTGCAATATTCGTTGTCAAATCTTCTTTATTCCATCGTATGATATTCTGAAAATTTAGAAGCACTATTATTTATAACCTCCCATCTAAACTAGTTCATAGTTCTTTTACGTGGACCGTTTTTATTTTCATGAGTTCCTAAGGAATACTTTTAATTTGTTTTATTTAATATGATAATATATTTTAAGATTCAAATTTAAAATTATAGAATATACTTGCTCAACTTCTTTAAACCAAGTGCCTTTTGGTGTTATCAAAGATTTATAGTCTAATGATTCTAACATTTCACTTTCAATATAAAATATGATTAAGAGATAATGATACATAAGGCCCCCAAATGAAAAAAATTGCAATTAAAGCCCAATATATTTTAAATTTGTTCTATAGGCCCTAAAGCTTTATATGCAAATATGTTTTAGGGTGAAAAGACTCATTTATTTCTCATTTGAAATGAACAAGTTTCTTAGGTAGATGTACAACATAATGTCCGTATATAACATAACAAAATCCATACATTAACAACACAATATTTATTTACCATACATAGTTTGAGTGATTTAGTTGAATAATAATATGCAAGTTCTCTAGACGTATGAACAACATAATATCTATATATAATATAATAAGATTCAAACATTAACAATACAATATTCATTTATTATACCTAATTCATATGGTTTAATTGAATAATAATGTACAAGTTTATCAGGTGCATAATAGAATGTTTATATATAACATGACAAGATTCATACATTAACAATACAATGCTCGTTTATTATACAAAGTTTGTGTGGTTTAGCTGAATAATAATGTACAAGTTTTTTAAATATATGAACAACAGAATATCCATATATAATATGATAAGGTTTATATATTAACAACACAATGTCTTGGGCACAATATTATTTTTTAAAATGAGAGGCAAATGAGTCTTTTTACTTGAAAACATATTTGCATATAAGGCATTTGGGCTTACAAAATAAATTCAAAATGTATTGGATCTTGGGGGAAATTTCTTTGATCTTGGGACCTTTGGTGTCATTGTCCCTATAATTAATATATTTAAATCTACCTTCCATATGATTTTAATTTTGAAAAACATATTTCAAATACCAGTGATAGTTACGAATATAAGTAGATATTTTATTTGAAGTATTAATTTTTTGTTAATACTTCTCTCAATATTTTTATTTCTTAAAATAATTGAATACTATCAATATTACAATGTTGACTAAACCTTATTGATGTTTTAGATTAATGTTGAAGTTTTAATTAATCCTCATCCAAATAAATTTTTTTCAAGTAAACACAACAAATATCTTAAATATTTTAAAAATTGTTCAAATCAACTATCAATGAAAAAGCAAATTGATTTGATGTAAGTAGAAAAAATTCCATACAAAAACAATCTTTTGTTCAATATTCCCTCCTTAAAAAATAAGGTATTTTTAACTAACTTTCACCCCTCAATAAAATAGTTGCGTACTTTTAAATTAATCCTATTTTTTATATTTACTCCTATTAAATATTCTATAATAAAAATAAGTCATTATCAATAGGGATACTTTAAAAAAAGAAATGATTACATTTCAAAAGACTAAAAATGTCTTACATTTTTAATATCTAACTTCTCAAAAAATGTCTTATATTTTTTAACGGAGAAAGTATATAATATCTTTATAAACATTTTCATAAAAAATATTAAAACTCGTTAAATATCCAAGTGAATTGCTGAACTTTGATAATTATATATAAATATAAGTGAGTATTTATACCATACAATCCAATTTAGTTTAGTTTAGTTTGACCAAGTGTAGTTAGGCGATTTGAATTAGGTGAAATATAGTTAATACTTCCTGAATGAAATTCTGAAACCCAACCATATAGTTAAAACAAAAAAAAAAACAAAAAGAAAAGAAAAGAAATACGTGCTGAAACTATCACCCGATTGAGGCGTGACAATACTGAAAAATATATTTATTAAATATTATATTGAATACGAAACAATTATTAAAAAATTGATTTCATCAACCAGACTGAAGTAAGAAAATTGGATATGCTTCAGTGTTTGTTTCGATCCTATATATGAATCATTTTTAACTAACTAAAAAAAAAAATAAGACAAGTTAATTGGTTGAAATAACAAAATTGTTTTAAAATTGAATCAATTTTCATTTTTCCCCAGACAAACACCATTATTAAATATTTTCATATCACCTTGGAATGTGATCAAGAAGATCTTTTTGAAATAATTCATTAAATTTTATGCAAAATGATAAAAAAAAAAGTTACTTATATTAAATACTACGACTTCCTTTTAGAAAGCGTCCAATAACATATAGGATCAGATGGAGCATTTGAGGAAAAATATCCTGATTTAATAATATTATGAACTCATTTCAGTTGGCAGACGTAGCAAATGATAAAATATAGTTTTAGTGACCCCTTATTTTCATTGAACATAAGAATAGAAATAATCAATATTCATATTCAAATAATAATTAACAATTGCAACGAGTCATTCGGTCTCTCAACCCCCAACTCTAGATTGTCTTTAACAGTACAATCTCAGAACGTTGGATTATTACAATGCTTATTATTAAGCATCTTGAAAACCAAATGAGGTCAATCAATTAATCAATATATAGGAAAATGATATAATAATCTTTCCTATGCTGTATACCTATGTGCATATATATGCATGCAGATCATTGCTTGCTCGCAATTCCTTTCACATAGTATAGTGCTGATTAATCTTCTCAATATCAAGTCCCTTCAGCTTAACCACAGATTCCACATGCCCTTTCAGCGTGTGAAGCTCCCTCAACCTAATTCACAACACAATTCAATTCAATTTGGTTCCAATAAGCAAGACATTCACTGTATTTAGCGTAGCAACTCATTTGACATTAGTGTTATTACCTTGCAACTTCAGCACGTTTCCTTGCTTGTTCTGCAATTTCAGTAAGTTCTCTGTAATCTGTTGTGTCCTTCAAGATGCTTTCTGGTTGTGGAGGATTCAGGCCATGGAGAGTGCGTTGAGCTGCAGCCCATTGCGCTTCTCTCTCCCCTCTTCCATAGTCTTTCTTTGTGGTGAAAGCGGTCTGCATCAGAAAAATCCAAACATGTCAGCGTATAGATTTATCTTTCATGTCTCTTGATCAACACAACATCAACAAGCAAGTATACATATTTGAAGAATTCAATACCCTGGTTTCAGTAATGTTGTTCCAAGCCTTGCCACTCAATGCATATCTGATGGCAAACTTTATGATATCTAAAGGAATGTAGAAGATGATGCTGTAGAGCCAAATCACACCAGCCCAGCCCCATCCAATTCCTTTAATCCTTGCAAAGCCCCAATGTGCATAAACGGCTAATAAGGTCGCAATCTAGATCATGAATCAACCCAGAAAGAGAAATGCTACTTAGAAATCTTCTGGAAGAAAAAGAATTTAGAGTGAAGTTCGTTTTTGTTGAGACTCACCAATTGTGCGACGAGAAAGGCACTAACAAGCAAGAGACCAGGGCGTTCAACATATGACCAGCTCCTTGAACGAGTGACAAAGATGAGAGCTTGACTCACTATACTCACTTGAAGGTAAACAGCTGCTGTAAGCTCATCCTCACTGTGCCTGATAGATCTAACTCCAAATTTTTCCTGCCAATGATTCATCACTATTGGATAAGTACTAAAGAACATATTGGTTATTTAAAGAAAGTTTAGAGGTTAGTTAATTTTGTACTGTGAAGAAATCAGATGCATGAGCAGCCCAGAAGAAGACAACAGTCATGACAGCAAGATAGGCACCAAGGACAATGCCAGTAGCAAAAATCTCATTGAGCTTCCAGGAATCAGGAACTGGAGATGGCTTTACTCTGTCCTTGGAAATGGTCATGATGGTCCCATCATTTAGTATAGCAATAATGAGAACCATGAAAGGTGAGAAATCAAATTTCCAGATGAGAGCAAGAAGCATAAATCCCAGAACAATACGGATTGTTATGGAGACAGCATAAATGGTGTAGTTCTTCATCCTCTGGAAAATAGCCCTGCTTGTTAACACTGCACTTATAATCACACTCAAACCTGGCTCTGTTAGGACTATGTCAGATGCACTTCGAGCTGCATCTGTTGCATCAGCCACTGCTATTCCAATATCTGCTTTCTTCAATGCAGGTGCATCATTCACACCATCTCCAGTCATTCCACATATGTGTTTCCTATCTTGCAGCCTCTTCACTATCTCGTACTTGTGCTCTTCATTTCACATAATTCGTTAGTAATTCAAGCATTTATAGTTAATAAACAATAATAATTAATGATTTGAGTATGTTTTTTTTTTTTTTTTCTTTACCGGGAAAGACTCCGGCAAACCCATCAGCCTTTTCAATAAGCTCGTCAATGGGAAGAGTAGCAATGCTCTCATCCTTGTGGTCACCAAGGAGAGAAGAAGAAGGGTACATGTTGCTTCCCATCCCAAGCCTGCGACCAGTCTCTTTACCAATAGCTAGCTGGTCGCCAGTAATCATCTTCACGTTCACTCCGAGTCCCAGAGCTTTTTTGATAGTCTCTGCACTGTCATGTCTTGGTGGATCAAAGAGAGGCAAGAGACCCACAAAATGCCAAGGTCCTCCTGCACTTTCCTTTGTCTTCTCTGGCACTTCCTGCAAGTATATATACAATCCCACACAATAAATTTTAGTTGACTCATCACTGCTTCCACTGCAAGCGACCGCTACTTACTTGTCTAGCAATAGCAAGAGATCGAAGACCACGATCAGCGAACTGATCAATAATGGCATGAGCTCTTTTCAGCGCATCACCCCGGAGACTGCAGAGTGCTATAATCTGGAAGGAATTTTACAAAAATGAGGGAAAATTTTCAAGGAAACAAGAGCACTAAGCCAATAAGCACTACAACATCTATTTACTTGCTCTGGAGCCCCTTTGCTAACTCTGTGCCAATTGCCTGCGGAATCAATGTATGTTATGGCTGTACGCTTGTCCACTGGATTGAAGGGAAGGAAATGCACCTCTTGGATGCCATCCCTAGCCTGTAGCAACAAATTGTCACTAAATCAATTCATTTATAATACAAATACGTGAAGTTTGGGATTGTCTTGCGTTCCAAGTTTGATATTGCAATATTCCCATCTTTCCAAACTTGGGTAGCATGCTCTTTATAATACAATTTTGTCTTTGCCAAATTCAAGATCCATTTATAATTCAGGTAGATTTTCTCATAGTTGAGGCTAATGCTTTAAATATCATGGAATTAATATTTTGAGATTATATACCTCCTTTGGATCACCCAACATTCCAACAATGCAAGCATCAATGGCATCCTGGTTCTCCACCCTAGAGGCCCTGGCTCCAAACAAAATTAACATGTCCTTGTCCATATTTTTTTCAAAAACCTGCAAATGATTATAAACTTAGAAGGATTCTTAAATAGATGACCATCTCAAATCAAACCTTTAAAATACACGGGAATTTGAACATACCTCAACCAAAGCCTTGTCCACTGTGAGCTTGTTCAATGTTAGAGTGCCGGTCTTGTCACTACATAAAACATCCATCCCTGCCATCTCCTCAATGGCTGTCATCCTCTTGGTGATGGCTCCTTGCTGGGAAAGTCGATGGGAACCGATAGCCATTGTTACTGACAAGACAGTAGGCATGGCAATCGGAATCCCTCCAATGAGAAGCACCAAGAGATTGTCAATTCCATCCCTATACTTGCGATGCTGAATTGGGTACATGACGACAATCTCTACAATGATCCCCACAGCAATGGAGCAAATGCAGAAGTTTCCAATTGATGTCAACACCTGCTCAGATCAATGATCATTATCAAATAGAGATTCAAAAGAACATTCACATAGAAAAGAGTAGAGAGGTAGTTTACCTTTTGGAAGTGGCCAACTTGATTGGTGCTGTCCACTAAGTGAGCAGCCTTACCAAAGAAGGTGTGGACCCCAGTGGCAATGACAATGGCTTCAATCTCACCTTGCTTAACGGTGGAGCCAGAGAAGACTTCATCACCTGGATTCTTCGTGACAGGCAATGATTCACCAGTGAGTGCAGACTGATCTATCTTGAGTGGGTCACCTTCCAAGAGACGAGCATCAGCAGGGATAATGTCTCCTAGCTTGACACTGATGATATCTCCTGGTACTAATATAGCAGCGTCCTGCTCGACCCATGCTCCATCTCGACGGACCTTGGTTTTTGGAGCAAGATTTGCCATGAGTGCTGCAGCAGCATTCCCTGCATTATTCTCTTCTATAAAGCTAATGGTGGAGTTGATAACCAGCAACACCACAATTCCCACAAAATCCTGCCAATCTGGTGGCTGGCCCTGCATTTTTCAATCAACGTCTTTTAGGGATCAATGCCATTGATTCACATTTCAAGAATACGTAGTTAGTAATTAGTATTGCGTACCCCGCCATTAGCCAACGCAATGGCCATGATAGCAGCAGCTTCCATCACCCATGATAGAGGGTTCCACATAAACCCCAAGAATTTCAGCACCTTACTTTCCTGTTTTCAAGATCAATGCCATTGATCAGCTTTTTTTCCTTTCATCAGGCAGTTGGAAGACTCAAGAAAATGAACTAGTCTATATATATATATATATATAATCAGCGGAGAATTGCCTTCTTCTCTTCCAGCTTGTTGTAGCCAAAAACACCCAATCTCTTTTGCCCTTCCTCATTTGTGAGACCCTCTTTTGTACAATTCAGTTCACGAAATACTTCTTCCACTGGTATGCGTTCCTGCAAGTATCAGAAACAGAGGATTCTTACACATATATACTCGCAGAGAAGAAGAAACCAAGAATCTGGATTCTGCATAATCAAGAGAAACGTACAAGATCAACATTCTCTTTCTTGATTTCTTCAAGGCCCGCCATGGTTGATTCTACAGTTAAGTTAAAGAAGCTTGTTTTTTTGTTTTATAAAAATGGTAGTTAGTGAACAAGTTGTAATTGTTTCTTCACAAAGAAAAGATCATATATAATAACAGAGTTGCCCGATTCATTAGTATCTCTCTCTCTCTCTCTCTAAAATCACTCATTTCCATACACTATCTCTTTTTCATCTCTATCACACACTTGGGCTCTTCTGTAACCAATTTTTGTTTCTTCATTTTTGCCTATAAATTTTGCCAATGACTTGGTTATCTATGCTTTGGCACAACAGATGCTCACTACCATTTAATCTTTAGCCACGTGTCATGTGGTTGACTGTGGTTATTAATTATCATATCTACATGTTAAATCTGTTTTTTTTTTTTAGATGTATAAGTATCAATTTCTTAAATATGGAAAACTCAGTTTTTCAGGAATATAGATTATTATTATTTTTTTTTTGCATGAAATTTTCATTTATGTATTAAATTTCTGAACATCAACCTTTTATTTCCTAACCCTTTCTCTGACCTTTATCTTTTTTTTTTTTTTTTAAACTGACAAATGCATTAGATTCCTTTGGACTTGAACTTTTTTTCTTGGAATAAAAATCAACAGTGTTTTTGTTTCTGTAATCGTAAGAAGCGTAAAAAAAAATAAAAATATTATTTTTTATTTATATGAATTATATTTTATATGTTCAATCAGAATAATTATACTCAGTACTCACTATTTAATTTAATGTAATTTTCATTTAGAAGAAAAATGTTAAAACTCAAGAGAGTTGAATGTAATTCTTTTATGATTTACCCATTTATGAACTATTCAAATTTAAAGGTTTTGCGTTTGAAGTAACATTTTCTTTTTATTAATGAGAAAGCTAAAAGCATATTTTGATTCCTTGCTGTAACTTATTAAGTCTTCAAGGGTTAACTTATAATGTTTTCTGTAAAGATATAATCAAGTAGTTAAGATCAGAATGATATACCATGCGACATACATTAATAAATTAATTTATAGATATTTCGAGATGATTTTCAGGCAAAAGATGACATTATTTTAAACCTTTAAAATTTTAAAGAATCGCAATATTTATTTTTGGGATCTTTTTGGATCCACTATTTTATAGTTCTGATTTTTCGCATTTTATTTCCTTTTAACTGTTGGGAAAATTAATCCCTAGTGGGAAGAATATTATGATATTGTTCATGTTTGCATATAATATGCTGACGCTTTCTTGCAAATTTTTCGGAATAAAGTGAGGATTCATGGGAAATACATTTGAAAAATAACTTAAATTCGTTGGAAGTTATAAGAATTATAAGTCACCAAGAAGTTATGCAAGTCTTCCTATAAAATTAAAAGAAAGTTTAAATTATATAAGACTTTTCTGGGATAATTCCAGGGGACGGTATTTTAGTTAAAAAGAAAAAAAAGTAGTCCAATATAATCATTACAATAAGATTTATCCCCGTGACCAATAAAATTTAGTTCAATTGTTAAAGATTTGACATATACTTTACAAAGTTATGAGATCAAATCTTATTATTGATATGAAAATATTATATATAAGATTTGTAAGTACATTTTTAAACATTCTTTAACCCTAAAAGTATGCCTTGGTCTAGTGAGCTCCCGAGATTAGGGGTGAGCAAATCGAATTGAAATTGAAAATTGAATCAAATTTTTGTTATTTGATTCAGTCATTCAATTTTTTGATTTGATTTGATTTGTAAAAAAAATATTTTGGTTGATCAGTTCGATTTGGTTAGTAAGATTTAAAATTGAATAGACCAAACCAACTGAATTATCATATATGTATGTAATTTATAAATTTATAAATTATATTTAGTTTATTAATTGCTTTATTTTATTTTATTCTTTTCAATTTTATACTTAAATAAAAGTAAATATATAATTTGATAAGTTGAAACCTTAAGCCTTCATTAAAATGAGTTATTATCACTTTATAAGCCCAATTTTATGTATAAGTCTTGTTTATTTTAGTTAAAAAGAAAATAACAAAATGGGCTCGAGTCCAGTTAGTTTAACATGATGTCCAGAATTGAATTAATTGACTAAATTGAATTGTTAAATTTTAGTTTTATCATTGTTCGGTTTGAAAATTAGTTCATATTTTTAGTATTGTTCGATCAATCAATTTTACACATTTTGGCACCAAACTGACTGATACTTACCTCTACTTGAAACTCAACTCTTCTAAATTTTTTTATATAAATAATATTAATATTCAGTATAAAACCCATACAAAGTCATATAAACACCCAAAGCCTAAACAAGATTCAGGGAGAATGATAGATAAGGATTCTCTAAGAATATTAATATCAAATTAAGATTTTTCAACATTAACATACCTAAATTTTAGTACTCCTTGTCCCATATTTCAATAATAAAAGTTTTAATTTGATATTAATGTTCTTACAAGATTCTTACTTGTTATTCTTTCTAAGATTTATCCCTTTAGGTGATGTTGGCTATGCATATTTTGGATCAAATCTTGTTTATGATATGAGGACTTTGTTGGTAAGAATTTTTAAGTATTTCTTTAAGCATTCTTTAAATTTAAAAACATGTGGTGGATCTAGTGGGCTCCCCAACATTGATGATAAAATATAGTAACTATAAAGTATGTTTTATGGCATATAGCAATAAAGCATTAAAGGTGAAAAACATAAGTATAGCATAAGGTAAATTTAAGAAATTGAAGTAGAATCATATGAAATAAAAATTAAAAAAGAGATTAGAAAATTTTTTTTGAAATACAAATGATTATATATTAAGTATCAACACATGGATAGTCTAGAAACATAAAAGAAAGAAGTTAGATAATTAAACTTATAATGTTTTCCAATTAAGTTAAAGCACGTGGATTTATATATATATATATATATATATCACTTACTTTTGTCACTAACTCTTTCTATTAAATTTCTAACTTATTTTTAAAAATAAAAATAGTTTATTATAATTTGATTGATAAAGCATATCTTAAGTAAATGAATTTATATATCTATTTTTTACCTTAACAAATTAAATCAAGCGCCGTTCCCATCCAAAAAAAATCTGGAACCTGCCTTTTGGACCTAAAAGAGATTAGCTATTTGGGCCCAAGAAGTTAGACCCATGAAATGTTAGATGGCCCAGATTGATCCCTTTCTTCAAGTTACAAAGGAAATTAAAAAACCAAAAAAAAGAAGAAGAGTGATTTCGATGCATGGGCTTGGAAAAAGGAAGGGAAATTCGCCATTAGTCCCAATTTAACTAATTATAAATAAAACTCCTAAATTTGATTAGTTACAAGAGGTCACAAATTACTTGTTTGTCATTTGAAAAACTAAGCAGTCTTAGTGTCCTGTTGAAGAACAAGAGCTAAATCAGGAATTGGAGAAAAGATAGGATGAAAGCTAACAACACAAGACAAAGGCTTGTTTGGCACTATCAATGAGTTATTAAAATTTAATGACCTGTTGGATTTTTAGTATTTTGATAAAAGTTATAGAGACATTATTTTTAAATAGTGATTTGAAGAATTTGTATAAAAAAAAACTTAATATCATACTTCCTATGTTAAAAATATAAGACATTTTTAACTGAATTTTACTTTCAATAAAATAGTTAATTGTTTTTAAAATAATACTAATTTTCATATTTACTCTTATTTAATAAGGTATTTCACTTAAAAATAAGGAAAAATATAATTTTTCATCCTTGCACTGTACGTGTATTTTGCTATAGGTTAATGTACCTTTTTTTTTCAGTTTTCTAGGTTCCTACATTTTCATTTTTTAATATTTTAGATCTCTAAATGAATAAAGTATAGGGATCTTGAAGGGACTTAAAACACTAGAAAATGAAATTGTGGGGACTTAAAATACTGAAAAAAGTGCAGGGACCTATAATAAAACACGATCAAAATGCAAGAATAAAAAATTATATTTTCCTTAAAAATAAATATACAGTAGTTTCTTTGTTAAAGGAATTTTTGAAAAAATATATTAATTATATGCTAAAATATTAAAAATAGTTTATATTTTTTTAACATCAAAACCTTCAAAACATGTCTTTTGACCTAGAGGGTAGGAATTTGAGCAAATTTTGCTGCAAGTAAATAATAATATTTAAGATAAAATAAAGGGCAATTCGATATCTCACCCCACAATTTCAAAATGACATTTAGGTCCTTCGGGTAATAAACAAATTTTTAAAAAGAACTTATTTACATTAATTTTCTTATTTGGGATTTAATAGTGAATTTCTCAAAAAATAACTTGAAAATTTATAACAGTATCAATATCTTGTTACACTATGGAAGCCTTATTACAATAACAATATCAATGTATAATATAAAATCTATAATTGTATCATTCAAGCAGAAACAGGTAGCAATATACAATTTTGTGGGAAAAAAATAATGCAATACCTCCTCCATCTCATTTTATAAAACATTTTTTGAAGTGATTTGATATTCCAAAATATAAAATATTTTGAATAAAATAATATTTGTTGGCATAAAAAAATTTCATTAATGATTATTATTTTAATATTATCTTTCATTATTTCGTTCCATAGATAAATTTCCTTCTCTCTTTGTATTATTAACGAAATGTACTTTAGAAGTTTATAAAAAAAATTAAGACTATAAACTGTATTTAATAAAAAAATTTGTATATATAACTTTTTCAAAAAATATTTTATAAGTTGGGAAAGAAATTTTTAGATAGATTGAATACGTTATACCATTTATAATCTATTCAATTAGAACATGATATTCTGATAGTATTAAATATAAATTAATTCTAACATTAATAATAGCAGATAGGAAAAAAATAAGAAAATGAATATGCATTTTGTCAAAACAATAAAATTAATTAAAATAATATTATATAAAATTTTATTTAAATTACTTAAAATATTCTAATTAAATAAATTATAATTGACTTGATGCACTTGATTTAGTTAAGAATTTGTCAAGCTGGATAGAGGGAGTGTTATTTAGATATTGTTCTGTATGGGAGGCCAATTTAATTGCCCCTCAAATTGTCATGGGAAAAGGGCCCATTC